CCGCTGAGCGGATACCGACCAACGATTCTCGCTCCTCGTCGCCCGGTCGCGGACATGCCAATGATGGCCCGCGATGCAGCAACTGCCACCACCATGTATCGCGCAATTCCGCAGCCCTCTATGCCCTGGAATCACCGCGCTCAGCTCAGACCTCTGGCCCCCCCTCTCGTGAGTATTCCTCGGCTTCCACATTTGACTACGCTAACTTGCATCTAGCACCCACACAAGCCCACACCGGGCCATCCTCCAAAGAGTCGAGTCGCCGCACCAGTGATGAGTCTGACTACATGGCTATTGGACAAGATGTGCGCGCCTATGAGACGGCATACTTCAGGCCTTCGTCGCAAGCCCCCATTGACCCCCGAACCGATCTCGAACTGCTCCGGAGTCACCGCCTTTCCCATGTTGCCGAGACTGGACAGCTCACGCCCAGAGTCCGCAAACCAGGTAATAGCGGAGAATGGGCCAGTGTGGCGGAAAACAATGTTTCTACCCTCAATGGTGTTAATTATTTCATGCCTCAGAAGACACCCTCTCCTCCGCTCCCCACCATTACCGACCCGTCGGACGAAGTCGGAGTAGGATCGTCCACTGGACCCGGTCACGACGGCCACGCAGCGAACCAGGCTAGACAGGCAGTTCCCTTGACCGAGTCCTATGCCCCTAATGCGCCTTACTATCCCGACACCTACGAGCCTCGCGGTCCGCACCATCAGTACAGCTACGACCAGGTGCCGTACGAGGTGAATACTCAGCAAAACCAGGAGCGGGATTCACAGGTCCTCCGCAAAGTAAACTCTGGCTTCGAGATTTTGCGACCAGGCACCTTTCAGCCGCCCACACCGGAAGAATTGGAGCTAGCCGAGCGAAGAACATCACATAAGAAGCTCCAGAAGAAGCGGAGAGCGTCCGACGCGTCGCGGAAATCAGTTTTCGTTGAGCAAGTCTAACCTCCCTTGCTGCCCACAATGTTCTTCCCACGTCATCCGCCTCGCGTTCCACATCTTGGGATTTATCGCGTACACGTCACGGCCACCGTGGTGGAACCTCTCCCTCACGTCGGGCTTTTGTACCCATCACCTACGTGCCGGCACCAACCCCCTGCATTGAAAATTTTATAAGCGTTTGTAATCATGTACCATTCGGACAATCTTTGGGGGCTTCCTTCTGGGAGCATTGCATGTAACGAGAGGGAGGAGCGGGGTAATTATATTTTTTTGTTATTGCCCTCCCGGTCTCTCCTTTTTTGCCGCAACAGGGGTTGCCTGGCACCACCACGACAACGACAGGGAAAACGTTGGCGTTGATCAAAATCACATAACATGGCGTTTTTTTTTGTAGACCAAAAAAGAATCGGGGCACACAACCTTTTTTTTTATCTAACGAGAATCTGAGCACACACACGAGTCTCGCTATGAAATTTTCCGGACTTCGTGGTTATTTTGGCAGCATAGCATGTAGTATTAGAAATATCTATGGAACTGTGCTTTTTTACTGTTTTTTTTTCTGTGTGCGTGTGTGTGTGTCTTCCTCATCCCCCCGCATCTTTTCCTCCTCGGGTCGGTGGGGTGGTGTGAGGTGAGGTGAGGTGAGGTGAGGTGAGACTGGGCAACGAGGCTGAGGATTTTTAAGGTTTCTTTTCTTTTGGATGTGGATGGCTGGGCTGGGCTGGGCTGGGCTGGGGTTTATACGAGTACGAGGCCGGGGTAGGTAAGGCTGATGCTTGTGCTTGTGATTGTCATAGGTATTGGGGTTGGGGTTGGGGTTGGGGATGTTGCGCGGGGGTGTAGGGATGTGAGATTTGGGATGTGGGAATTGGTGGTGTTGTTGTTTAGCTTAGCATGTATGTGTGTATAATTGGGGGAATGCAGAGGAAGTTGTGTACGAGAGATTCATAGTGTTTGGTTCGATAGGCACGCCTAGGTATATGGTAGGGGTTTTTCTGGCAGGCTGATAGACAGGATAGGCTGATAGGCAGGTAGGTAGGGTAGAGCTTATTCTTTCATATCCCTCCCCCGCCTCTGCAACTCCCGCGAGTATGCGTCCTCGTTTACGGAGTACGACTATAACTATCTTGTTTCGCCATCCCTTTGTTTATATGTGAGGAATGCGGATCTGGGGTCGGTATCTAGCTTCTTGTTCCTATACCCAGGTCTACCTATAGGTAGCGCACCCATCCTTTCTTATTATTGCCGTACTGTGTATTCCCTACACGCATAAACGAACCCAGGTCTGCGGAACCTGGGGATACGATACGAGATACGCGGACCTAGTTCATAAGTTCCGTTTTCGCAGATTCGGTCTTTTTCTTTTTCTTTTTATTACTAGGCGTACTGTGTAAAAAGTGAACTTCGAGGAGTGTAAGCGAGGGTATCCGTGCACATGCGGTATGTTGTTGGGCTCGCAGAAATTTCCTTCTCTTTAGAGCGGCGGCACGGAAGTGGAAGGAATTTTTCTTTATTGTTTGTTGGTGGCGCTTGGGGGGTGGGGTTTGTGGCGCTTTTTGTTAGGCCGGCTGCCGGTAGGGGAAATGGGAAATACGCGAGATTTGGGTTAAGTAGGTATTGTGATTGGGTTTGAGTACTCCGTATGGTGTGGGACCTGGGTACATGGATTTTCCCCTGAAGATCTATGTGCAATGGATGCGAACGTCATGAGTACTTGGAACGGACGTCATTAATTACGTTTATAGCGAACATTGTTTATGTATGATGGGCTATGGAATTGTTATACGTACTACTACGACTACAGAGGCGTGGGAATTCGTTCGAATGTGTTTCATAAGAATGTTGTCGACTTTGTGTACCGTAGGGTCTTAGGTTATTTCTCTCTCTCCATCTTGCCTAATGAGTAGCTATGCCATGTACATAATAGCACAGCGCAAGAGTAACACTCATCTAGTTTCGACAAAGCGAGAGTGCAAAACGGGGAAAGAGGAAAACAGGTACCGGTTTCTTAGTCCACCAACTACACACGAACGTAACCTTGCCCTCTTTTGTATCAATCACAATACACTATTCGTTAGGGTAGCTCGTATCGCGCACCTTTTTGCTTCGATGACAGAAAAGTAGTTGTAAGAATCTAGTACACAAACTCTACACAATAGCCGTCTTGTTCTCTACACGAACTTCCACCCCAAAATCACGTGCTAACATTTGGAATCTCTTTTCAAACTCTATTCTCCGCTAGTCATACCGTAGTCTTTACTACATATTCGGTCCCTACATAGTTACTTACGAACCGCCCGGAACCAAGTTTTCCACAATTCCAATTCCAATTCCAATTTCGCCGCTCCGTGCACAGCCACCACCACATCCGTCATACATAACAATCGCCACCTCCTCCCAACACGCTACCCACCACGATAAAAAAATTCCTAGTTTCTATTCTTACCGCAATCGAACGGTTAGGTATACTAACTACCGCCCAAACAGGTACCTAGGGTGCATGTGAGTTATTGGTGGTGGCAAGACTGACGTACACGACGACACCTGCACCTATAGCTCGTCTGACGTGCGAACGAACGACGTGTTGTAGTGAGCGGCTTAGCTCCTCTTTTTTTTTTTTGCTGATTTTCTGTAGGTGGAAGGGGCGAATGAGGTCGATTGGGCGACGAGGAAAGGGAAGGCTGTTTGTGTGTAGGAAAATTGGGAAATAGGAATGAGATTGATACATCTTTTTGTAGGACTTGATGATTCTATAGATTCAAACCCCGGGATGTAGTCGTGCACGACGCGGGGAAATATTTTGTTTGGTGAATTTCGCTACACGAGCTTGCGGTCTTATAGTGTCTAAAGGTTAGATTCGACGATGTCGGGATCTATGTGAGGCTATGGAAGTGTTGATTAACTTGCTGCTGTGGGACAGGAAACCATACCAAATCGATCTACCACCTTCATTTCACATTCACACTTTTGCATACTACCCTCGTATCGACTCTTGGACCGCGATGCAGCACACTCTCTCAAGCATGTATCTTCTCCATGTCTTCACTAACGGACCCCTTTTCATCACGGTAGTGTAGTCCCACGCCCCACTCCCCCCTTTTACAGGTGAACCCCTTCACCATCATCACCATCGTCCCCAGTATTCCCATTCATCCCCGTCCCACCACTACCCCCACCATTCCTCCTTTCCCTTTCCCTCTCCCCCTCCCTATTCATCCCCGTCCTACCACCACCCCCACCATTTCTCCTTTCCTCCACCCCCTCCCCATCCCTGCCCCTCTCCCCCCCATCCCTCCTCCCTTCCACCCCCTCCCCCTCCTCCTCCACCCCGACATCCTCCCCATCCCCCCCACCCCACCTCACCCCCCTAACACCACAAACCTCCCACCGAATCCCCCCCCTCATCTCCCTAAACCTCCCCAAAACAACCCCATTCTCCACACGCGCCTCCTCACACTCCTTATCCCCAACAAATCCCTCCAACTCCTTATTACTACGCTCCAAGTGGCGCATCTGATTGCCCAGTTCGTGGTATTTGGCGTACAGGGAGTCGAGGGGGAGGTCTGTTAGGGCGGTTTTGAAGAGGGGGAGGGGGATGGGGGTGGACATTGTGGTGTGGTGTAGTGTGGTGCGTGGGTTTCTAGGTTTGTTGTGTTAGTTGCAAACTCCGATCGCTGGTAGGTAGGTCCTACACCGTACGGAACGCACCTAAATACAACCGCGCAGTACAGCACTACGAACCCCCACTATCACATCTACTTACCTCCCTAGCACAGTAAAGTAGTCACATACACGCCTAGAATACGTCCAAGGTACGATATGCGTGCGCGTGTGTGTTGTGCAAAACTTCCGAGTCGCGAGGCGAGGCTTAGTGGGGTACCGTAGCTACCTACTACCCCGCTTTTAAATTCCAATCCCACGCGCAACCCCTCCTCTGCTACTTACTCCAACCCCCACTCGACTACATAAGTTATCCAATCCCTTCCACATCCCAAAAATTCGAAAGTTATTATAATAAGGATAGGGAAAAATACAAGAACATTGAACCACCAAGGCACTTTGGCGGAGTGGTTAACGCGCTGGCCTGCTAGTCTTCTGTTGTACGGAGGAAAGTAAGCCAGTTCCTTCGGGAGCGTGTGTTCGAATCACACAGGTGTCGCAAGTATAACCAACTTATTTTTTTGTCTTTTTGTTTTATGATGGGAGGATGGTGTTGAAAATTGGGTTGGGTGGGTTGGTCATGAGACTGTTACAGATTCACATGTGATTTTTTACCGACTTCAATGCGTGAGATGAGACAACAATGATATAGAGTAGTACACTAAAGTGTCGAGGCTAGATAGCTAATGCACATAACAAGTTGTGTGCGATACCAGTGCTAACATCATCTCCTCGGGTTCATGCCAGGCATCAGGTCCGGCTTGTCCAGCCACATGTTCCTTAGCAAGACCAACCGCCTCAGACCCTCCCAGTCATCGCCCTCTTCTTGTCCCCTCTTCCACTCTTCCTTGAACCCCCATGCGCATGCGATTCGGTCCATGGCCGCCCGCTCATCCTCGCGCAGGTATCGCTCCAGCAGTGGGTAACCGGGGATCCAAACGACTCTGTCGTGGTGATCGTTGTAGGTGGTGAGGGCGACAAAGCCCAAGGTGCTGGTGCACAAGACGTAGGTGCACAGTCCCGCGAAAGCGTTGATCTTGAACCTCCACGGGTCCATGTAGTTACTGTACACCGACAGCTCTTGGGCAATCATGTATAGGGCGAAGGGTGTAATGAAGGCCAAGACGGCTGGCAAGCCCAGCTTGGTGATTACACGGTGGCGCATCCATGCCGGGGCGCGGTAGGTATGGTCGACGACATCCAAGGCCAAGACCATATCCTTCGCATCGATCGCAGCCGTGAGCGCTTCGTAGGCTAGTTCTCTGGGGATGACTTGTTTCGCGGACTTGGGGGACGGTTTCCTGAAGCTGGGCGGTGATGATCCCTCGAGCGGGATGGGCTTGTTGGCGTAGAGGTAGAGTGCGATGGGGATGGTCTTTGGACGAGCGAGTAGCCGCTGGAGGTTTATGTAGACAGCAAGGATGTTGGGCGAGATGAAGACCTTGTCATGCTTGATAAGGTCTTCGGCGAGCTTGGAGAGGTACGAGGGCGAGGGGAGTGCATTGAGTCCCAGCTGCTCTGACCTGGTCTGCTTCTCGTCGGCCGCATTCTCTTCACTGCCCAGACCGGATAGTATTGCGCCCGCGGAGCTTTGTTGGATTTGTGTTTTGGTTGGCAAAGGCTGGCGTGCGCGGATGGCTATCGCCTGCTGTGCAACACTCTCTATTCCGTCGAATGCCCTCAATAGAACGGCTTCCGTCTCAACTTTTGGCGAATCGTATATCGCGTGTATTTCGGCTTCGACCTCGGTAAGGTGCATCCGTAGCGCAGCAATCCTATCCGACGTCTGCACATCGTTGTCGTCGCTATTCTCCGCTGCTGCCTTCCGGGCTGTGGTCGTGATGGTTCGTGGGCGTGGGGGTGTGCCGGCTAGGGCAGAGGGTGTTCGGCCTGTTTGCCGCCGGGTCGAGGGCCTGAGGGATGGGGTGGACAGGAAGGCGCGGCGACATGCAGGCTGCCGCAGTATGGAGTCGCACAATTGCCATACTGGCCGCGATGGGGCGCGCATGGGCAGCCTGCACGGCTTCATTGTGCTGGTGGGTGGGGTTGGGGGGAGTGGGTGAAACAGAGGCAGCGTGCGTGGCTGCGGATTGGGATGCCGATGCCAAGGCGAACGACGGTGACGGAATGGCCAACCCGACCGACGCTCCAACACGACACGCATACTCGGACTCGCTCCACGCCGGCACACACCACCAGGCAGCCGCGACTGCATTGCACATCCTGCTATTCTTCCTACGAGAAAGCGTCAGATTGCCGGTTCGAACGACGGGATCCCTTCACCATGCCCGCACCACCTCCCCCTCCGCCCATGCCGCCCATGGGACGCGGAGCTGGAGGGCCACCACCGCCGCCGCCCATGCCCGGAGCGAAGGCGCCAGGGGGGAAACCGCCGTCGGGGGCAGGAAGAGTACGTTGCTCGCATACGCGCAGCGCAATGGACTGCTGCAATGGCCGTTTGGCACCACCCAGCGCTCAGCTAACAGGCCACAGGGAGCACTGTTGGGGGACATCAGCAAGGGCACGAGGCTGAAGAAGGTGACACAAGTCAACGACCGATCCGCTCCCATAGTAGCCAAAGTCAGCGACGGGCCCAGCGCACCGCCCATGGGAGCACCCGCGATTCCCGGCATGGGGAAGCCGCCTGGAGTGCCTGGCCTTGCGCCGCCCGTGTCCGGAGGTGGAAACCGAGCGAGGAGCAACAGCGACACAGGAGGCGGAGACGGTGGAATGGCTGCGCCACCGCAACTAGGCGGCCTGTTTGCTGGAGGCATGCCGAAGCTGCGGAAGTCGGGCGGCGTCAAAACAGGTGCAGATCAGGACCATGCGCCCTACCTCTCAGATCCCGAGTCGTCGCGACGCTCAGCACCGAAACCACCAGGAGGGGCAGCACCGCGGCCTCCGGGAGCCCCTCCTTCAGCTCCTCCTGCGCCGCCCGTACCGGCCTCGCGACCATCGCTTAATCCTCTGCGCAGTGGACTGGATTCGAGACCGTCCTCGGTAGCGTCAAGTATAAGCATGAAACCGAAGCCACCGCCTCCCATTGGCAAGAAGCCGCCTATGCCTCCGCCTTCTTCTCGAAAGCCATCTGGTCTCGCTCCTCCTCCGCCGGCGTCTCCAGCTCGAGCCCCGCCTGTTCCTGGAAGTGCACCACCCGCGCCCCCTCCGCCGCCGCCGTCGTCGGGCTCCACACCATCACCTCGGCCTACCGGAATACCACCAGCACCCCCTCTACCACCGTCTCCAGCTCCGCGAGCACCGACACGATCGACTCCACCTCCCCCTCCGCCGCCTTCTGCACCTCCGCCATCCACCGCACAAGTCGACGATGACGAGTACGACCCGTATAAGTACGACAGTCGAGCACCCTCAGCACCTGCACCACCTCCCCCAACGAACGGTCACGCTCCATCGCTCGCAGAACAAGCAGCTCGCAATGCTTTTGGCCGCGCATCACCTGCGGCGCCTCCGCCACCACCTCCTCCTCCCCCGGCCGCCGCGCCCACAGCACCACCCGCTCCTCCACCGAGCGCACCCGCACCTCCCCCACCACCAAGTGCCGCACCGAGCCGGCCAACCTCCCAAACCCCGCTACGGTCCATGATGGATTCCAGTTCATATACATTGACAAACGGCGGCTCAAGTTTGAAGAGCCCAACCCCTTCTGGCATGGGCGGTGGGTCAGCTCATAAGGGCAAGGTTGTGCCCATTCACGACTTGAGATGGAGATTCCAGGATGAAGCACAGTTTCCACGTCCCAGAGAATTCAGCAATGGACCTAAGAGATATCGTGCTGGCCGAGGGAGCAGTGTGCCCTTGGATCTGAGCGCGTACGAATGAGGGAGAGGAAGAAGCTAGGAAGATTCAACGTTTTTGCTCTGGACCGAAAAGGTCTTTTTTTATTTTAGGGATAGATGATCAATTTTTAGCCTTGGCGTTTGTGGTGTTTGGCCTAGTCATGGCATGTTGTTGGGGGTTCGTGCGAGAGAAATAGATATTGGGGTGTCGTGAGTAGCTTTTGCCAAAAGAAAATTCCAAATCGCGTCTTCGTGTGCTATAAAGCCTACTTTCAAAATTGTATAACGTTATAGAGTTGGATTTATTATGGACCGTGTCTGGACACATGGGGGTTTTGAATTTCCTCGCGTTCCGTCCCGAGCTCGGAACCGGATCAGCGCAACTAGATGCCAAGATTCTCCCTTATTAGCCCGCAGAGATGTGGTTCCCAAGCACACTGGGCACCTAAACCACTACGATCTTCTTACGCTGTATATATCTTTCCTATTCTGCTATCCTCACTGTTCCCTTTTCCCTTCTTCCAACACAACATTGTTTTAAGTCGCGTCCCATATCCGCGGATCTCCCGGCAACTATATGATGTCACAAGCTCGGCCGGCCCTTGACGGCGTTGACATCACAAAAACATAGTAGTAGTATGCTTTTAGCGCTTTTACGTCGTCTACCGTCGAAAATAGTGGCTAGGGGGTGGATACATAGGCCGGGCTTTCCGCTTTTCGGATGTACGATGGAAAGCTTTTTTCTTGTTCCTGAAACCCAGTTGTTCGGTTCGGGAAATTCGGGGTTTGAAACTTATAAACTTGATCACCCATTACCGTTTCGCGGAGTAAAGGGTTTGAATAATGTCAACCAATGGACATGAACGGAGTAGTACACAGCAAAGAGATGGGATTGTCGAGCCTCAAAGGGAGCCAGGATGGAGTATCGCGATTAAGAATTTCTCACCACAATGGTGCGTATACGGAATCAGAGGCCTTACTTCCCATATACCAACTAAGAACCCAACCCAGGTACACAATCTCAATGGACACTGGTATCCTATCCATAATCATGAACCTCCTCCCCTGGCAATTCTCCGGCCTCGACATCCTCGCAACAACAATGTTCATCTTCAACTTCCTCCTCTTCACAATCTTCACCCTCCTCTCCCTCTTCCGGCTCGCAAAACACACGCGCTACATCCACACCCAAACGCTCACCGCGGAAGAAGAACTCTCCTTCCTAGGCGCACCCGCCATCGCCTACCTAACCCTCGTCGCACAAGTCGTCCTAACCTGCAGTCCAGCATGGGGCTATGACTTCAGCATCCTCGCATACGTACTGTGGTGGATCGGTCTCGTTTGGACCGTCCCCCTATGTTCCTTCCAGGTCATCATCCTCGCCAAACGAAACATCACGCTCGACCGCACCCTCAGTCCCGCCATCCTCTTACCTCTCATCTCCGTCATGACGCTCGGCACCACCGGCGGCCTCGTCGCAAACTACAGCGTAGCGCTCAGCGCGCGCATGGCCGTGCCCGTCATCGTGGTCGGCTACTTGTGCATTGGGTATGCGTTGTTTCTGAGCTTGTTGTACTATTCCTACCTTATGCATAAGTTGCTTGCTGTGGGCTTGCCGCCGCCGGCCAAGATCCCTAGCTTGGTTATTACGGTTGGCCCCGTTGGCCAGTTTGCTACTGCTATCCAAGTCTTAAGTACGGCG